TAAAAAATACACATTTTTATGTATTATATACCTATTTAAAATATATAATTTAATTTTTTATAACTTTAAAACAAAAATAAAATATATTTCTGTTTTAATTAAATGTAAATAATGTATAACAATTTTTATAAAATATTATGTGAACAGTGTCATATATGTATATATATAAAACAATGTCGTTGTCCGTTTTTTAGCAGTATTTGCCTATAACTACATAACTAAATTCTCGACAAATCCTAAGGTATTAGACAGTTGTTTAGGCCCGTCTTTCCCTTCTTTGACTCCATCTTTTTTTCTGCCATTGGCTAGCAGTCAACATTACGTGTATTCTGCTTTTGCACTTGTTGTTGTAGGAGCCTCTACTGCTGCTGCTGCTGCTGCTGTTGTTGTTGTAGTAATGCATTTGGCATGCTGACAATGACAATTTGACAGAGCGCTCGGCAAAAATTGGCACCAATTCCGTGGAAATCGTTGGCGACATGTCACAGACCCGAATTCCCCAATCCTAGATCCATACCCAACCCATTAGTACCTTTTGCCCACCTCCTGCCGCCTGCTGCCTGCTCCTGCTCGCCTTTTCAGCACTCGCCTGCACTTTGTCTGTCTGCATTCAAATTGGCTAAAGGATTACACTCTGAGTGATTTTTTGGGATTCGTTGCGGAGCTTAAAACATCCATTTGACGATTTTCTATTATTGATGCGAAAGCAACGGCAACGCTTGCTGTCTAAATGGGGATTTTAACCTGAGATCTTAGCGAGCTTTGCTACACCAAGAGATATTCCAAATTCAATGTGGAAGGAGGGTGTAGGGAAATATATAAGGAAATGCTTTGGTAGCTATAAAAACTAATTTCTATTTTATACTATAAATATTTTTACATACAATCTAACTAAATCTTTAAGAGTTATATGAATAAAGTTTTCTTATGCTGTCTTTCAATCTAGGTCTTTAAAGTTTGGGACTTCAATTTGATTTTCCTTCCTCTTCATTGTCTTCATTTTCATCTTTCTTTTAAAGCCCAAATTCAAGTAGAAATGGTGTTATCCTAAAAGTTCCATCACTTTGCGGCATAAAAAACTTTTGACTTTTTACGAGTTGATTTACGATAAACAAGAAACTTGCAAATATTCAATATTTTAAAGCTAAAGTAAGAGGATAAAATCAAGTAGAAGATAATAGAAGGGGTTGATTTTTAAGACAGCCATGAATTTTTTATGGCTCTACGAAGTCTTTAATGGGTTCACAGCATCCTTATATACATCAACATCCAACTTTTCAAAATATATTTTTCAAAATTATTTTTAGTGATTAATAATAAAATAATATTT